CCTGTTTTGTTGCCTGAAGTTCAGACTCCTGTACAAAATGTCCTTACCTTCCTAAACCTGGCCACAGAGTACAGAAGCCAGTAGAACAGAATTGATTTCAGCTCAACCCTCCACAAATGCTGACTGCCACAAGTGTGGCCCCACAACAAAAATGGATTCTAACCTTGCAGAATTGATGGTTGATAGCAAGTGTCAGATTCTTGGTCTTCAGAAATGAGAATTGCTCTGTTCTTCAGAGAATACAAAGGAATGGTCCTGAAAGTTCTGCTTGGATATGGGCTATGTTTCAATCACCATTGTATTCCCATGGCTCATCCTATAGTCCATATCACAAATGTTTAATACACAAATGATCAGGAAAACTGTGCATCAGCTAGTTAGGGCATACACACCTGTAATCTCAGCACTCAGGAGACTGAGGCAGGGAGATCACAAGTTCAACAATAGCATAAACTAGGGAAAGCCTTATCTCAAACAACAACAAAACGTGTCTCCTTTAGCAAAGATGTAAACAAAAAGATAGAAATCAGTTATTAAGTAGATTATGAGTATATTGCATCTTAATTTGACCCCTTCCATTTTTCCCCCTATTCTTCTCCAAGTTAGTTTGTTTTTTGTTCAAGACCAGGACTGAAACTTGCTGACACTTGCATTTGTGCATTGGCTGGTGCTCTACTACCTGAGCCATGCCTCTAGTCCCCCAACCCAGTTTTTAAGTTTTCCCCTGGTACTGTCCAAGAACATCAAGGCAGAGCAACAAAGAGAGAAAATAAAATTTAATGGCAAAGCCATTGTTTCCCCTGGTGATATGTGGTATCTTGTGGCATGTTGAGGTATCTTGCATGCTCTCTGAGAAGGTATAGGGCTAGTGGTTTTCTTGTCATTATTTATGAGCTTCCATGGCTATTTTTCCCATGTCTTCATTTGGCAAATGTGTACTGCCCCAGACCCTGTCCAAGGCCCTGAAGACACCATGATCAGCAGATGGATGGGATCTCTGTACAGGGGAACGTTCTTATAGAACTCCCCATGGACTGTTGGACTACAGGCCCCACCATTTACTTAAGGTAAATCACCCCATGGTTCTTTCATGAGAACACTTCTAAAAGGAAAGATGATAGGTATAAGCCAGGCACTGTGGCTCCCACCTGTAATCTAGCTACTCAAGAGACCATGATCTGAGGATTGAGGTTCAAAGACAGCCTGGGATATGAGATTTGTGTCTCCAGTTAACCACCAAAAAGCCAGAAGTAGAGTTGTGACTTAACTGGTAGCGCGACAGCCTTTAGTGATAAAGCTAGCAGACATTGCCCAGGCCCTGAGTACCTGCACCAAAACATTAAAAAATGATGAGTACAAATCTAAGTTGCAGTATATCTGATGATTGGTGATTTATATCTAAGCATGCTGCCTGTTTTGTTGCCTGAAGTTCAAACTCCTGTGCAAAATGTCCTTACCTTCCTAAACCTGGCCACAGAGTACAGAAGCCAGTAGAACAGAATTGATTTCAGCTCAACCCTCCATGACTGCCACAAGTGTGGCCCCACAACAAAAATGGATTCTAACCTTGCAGAATTGATGGTTGGGTGCTTTTGCTCTTATCAACTAGTAGTGGTGCAGCAAAGAGATGGATGCTCATTTCCTGGAGAGCAAGTGAATGTGTATATTACTATCAGGAAGAAAGCTGGCAATCTTCCAGTGTTCTAACTCTGCCCATGATGTACTTCTATAGAATGTGTACACAAATAAAAAGGATGGGTGTGCTGAGATGACCCTGCAGCATTATTTAATGAATACAAAATGATCAGCATTAGCATAGGATACTATGCCATTCTTTTAAAAAAATTAAGAATTGCCAGGCACCGGTGGTTCACTCTTATAATCCTAGCTACTCAGGAAGCTGAGATCTGAGGATCATGGTTCAAAGCCAGCCTGGGCAGAAAAGTCCATGAGACTCTTATCTCCAATAAACCACTAGAAAACCAGAAGTGGTGCTGTGGCTCAAGTGGTAGAGTGCTTGCCTTGAGCTGAAGAGCTCAGAGACAGCGCGCAGGCCCAGAGTTCAAGTCCCATGACTGACCAAAAAAAAAACCCCCAAAAAATGTAAATAGTAACTTCTTGCTCCATTGCCTCTGAGGACAGAGAATTTGGAGATGAAGGCTTCTAGGTTTGGGGTTTTGTTTTGTTTGTACAGGTACTGAAGATTAAACTTAGTAGCTTGCACTCTTAGCATTTTTACGCAAGGATGGTGCTCTATGGCTTGAACCTCGTCTCCACTTGCAGCTTCTTGCAGGTGAATTAGAAGTGTAAGAGTTTCTTGGACTTTTCTGCTCAGCTGGCTTTGACCAATAATGCTTGGCTCTCATTCTCACAAGTAGCTAGGGTTACAGGCATGAACATCAGTTTTAGAAGTATGCTATAACCTTAGACAAATCTGTTTTTGCCTTTGTGAACCTGTTATGTCTTCTCTCAGAGGAGTTCTTAGAAAAATCCTGGAGCATTATATAATGGTAACCCCTATGTACATTACCTTTCTTATATAGATTTTAAAAAGGATTTTTTTGTCAGTCGTGGTACTTGAACTCTGGGCCTGGATGCTGTCCCTCAACGCTTCAGCTCAAGGTGAGCGCTCTACCACTTGAGCCACACTGCCACTTCTGGTTTTCTGGTGGTTAATTGGAGATAAGAGTCTCATGGACTTTCCTGTCTGGGCTGGCTTTGAACTGCAATCCTCAGATCTCAGTCTCCTGAGGAGCTGCTTTTTTTTCTTTTCAAAAAATTTTCCTTTGCTTGGTGCAGGTGGCTCATGCCTGTAATCTTAGCTACTGAGGAGGCTGAGATCTGAGGATCACAGTTCAAAGCCAGCCCGGGCAGAAAAGTCCGTGAGACTCTGATCTCCAACAAACCACTAGAAAACTGGAAGTGGCGCTGTGGCTCAAGAGATAGAGCGCTTGCCTTGAGCTGAAGAGCGCAGGGACAGCGCCTAGACCCAGAATGCAAGCTCTAAGACTGACAAAAAGAAAAAAGAAAAAAAAGCATGTGCTACAGGCCTATAATACTTGCAGCAGGTAGCGTCGGTCCAGATGAGTTGGCTGTGAAGATCACCAGGCAGAAACACACCAAGAAGCATCTTGGCTTCTTTCGCAACTATTGTGGAGTCCACGAGCTGTACCAGATTCTGCTGGATGGCACTTTCTGTCAGGCGGCGCTGAGGGGCCGTGTCCAGCTGTGGGAGCAGCTGCCCCGCTACCTTATGGGGTAGATGCAGCTGTGTACCACCAGATGTGTGTTGAAGGAGTTAGAAGCATTGGGAAAGGACTTATACGGGGCAAAACTCAATGCACAGAAATGCCAGGTTCGAAATTGTCCCCATTTCAAGAACTCAGTGACTGGATCAGAATGTCTGCTTTCCATGGTGGAGGAAGGGAATCCTCACCCTTATTTTGTAGCAACCCAGGATCAGAATTTATCTGTGAAGGTAAAGAAGCAGCCTGGAGTGCCTCTCATGTTTATTATTCAGAATACTATAGTCTTGGACAAACCTTCTCCCAAAACAATTGCTTTTGTAAAATCTGTCCAGTCAGGTCAGCTTGTCTCGGTGCATGATAAACAAAATATTAAGCTGTTCAAAGAGGAGCAAGGTTTAGTGAAAAATCCTGAACAGAGAAGAAAAAAGCACAGGAAAATAAGTGGCCCCAATCCTCTTAGCTGTTTGAAGAAAAAGAAAAAGGTCGTGGATTCAAAATCACCTGCTTCTGACAAGAAAAGGAAAAGGAAAATGATGGGCAACAGATCTACCTTAAAAGTACTTTCTGAGAAGCAGAATGCAGAAGGACAATGAGTGGTTTAGATACATTTAAGACATTCAGATGTGAAAATGAATTTACTTTTGGGACTGCAGAGAAGTATTTATGATGAAAGACTATAAAGTTATTTTATAAACAATTATAGTCCATATGCTTTTGGTTAAAATTACTTCTAAAATAAAAATCATTTGCTTTAGATGTGAAAAAAAATACTCGCAGCAGGATGCTGAGATATGAGGATCATAGCTAGAAGCCAGCCCTGGTAGGAAAATCCATGAGAGTCTTATCTCCTTTTAACCATCAAAAAACGAAGTAGAACTGTGGCTCAAGTAGTAGAGCACAAGCCTTTGGCAAAAATGATAAGGAACTGTTCCAAGCCCTGCATTCAAACTGCAGTAATGGAGAAAAAGCAAGCAGAAACTAGTGCTGGAGTTGTGGTTCTGTGTAGAGTTCTTATCATAGCACTACTCTAGTTCCTTTACCTAGTGGCTTATCATTGAGACCTCTGGCCAGTTCAGTTCTTAAGAGTTCCTCTCTAAATTCGTCTTTGGGTCACTTCCTTATTGAAGGCAGCTAGATCACATAAAATTTGCATTACATGAATTTATTTTCTTTCCTCCTGTTGACGTATTCAATGTCCATTTAATTTTGAGGCTCCGTGGAAAATTCTAAAATGGCATGGAGGTCAATTCTGCTCCCTTATATGGGAATGGCATTTTCAACAGAAAACAACTACAACTGGATTTAATTTTGGTTTGTGTATGTGCATGTGTGTATGTGTGTCAGTATTGGGAGCTTGAACTCAGTGCCTGACCATTGTCCCTTACCTTTTTTGTTCAAGGATGGTGTTCTACCACTTGAGCCTCAGTTCCACTTCTAGCTCTTAGTAGTTCACTGGAGATGGGAGTCTCACGGACTTTCCTTCCCGAGCTCGCTTCTACCTGTAATCTGCAGATTTCAGCCTCCTGAATAGCTAGGATTCTAGGCAGTGCCTGGCTTAATTTGGGTTTTATTCTAAGTAAATAAAGCAATGAGCTAAAGGGCAGAAGCCAAAAAGCAGGATTGGTTTTAATTATCCATCACTACACCTGTCTGTCTTTCATACCTCCTCCCAGAAAAGGTGGGTTAACAATCTTATACAAAGAAATATAGAAAAAAAAGTTAATGCAGGGAATAGATTTGTGGGGTATGGGAAAAGATGGTCTCTCCACCCTGTCTTCTGAAACTGCCTCAGTCAGCACGGTTCATTGCGGATGATTTTAATATCATGACCATCCTCCCTATGAATTGAACAAGCAGAAAAATGATATTACCTACCAGACAGAAACCTTCTCATTATCTGCATTAGATTACTTCCAGGCTACAGTTACTTAATCGTGTATTTAAGAAATATCTAGCCAGGTGCTGGTGGCTCATGCTTATAATCCTAGTTACTCAGGAGGCTGAGGTCTGAGGATTGCGGTTCAAAGCCAGCCCCAGGAAGAAAGACTGTGAGATTCTTATCTCCAATGAACTATTTGGAAAAAGCCAGAAGTGGTGCTGTGGCTCAAGTCGTAGAGCGCTAGCCTTGAGTACAAAGAGGCTCAGGGACAGTGCCCAGGCCCTGAGTTCAAGCCCCAATACTGGCAAAAAAGAAAAGTGAAAAGAAAAAAAGAAATATCTAAGAACACCACCAATATCTAAGAATATCTAAATATCTGAAGAATATCACTGTCCCACTGCATCATGTTTTTCCTAATCCTAAGGAACCAGGTCTAGTCTCCTAAGAAGCTCAAAGAGAAGATTTGAGTGAGAGAATGGACCTTGCAATGCCAAACAGCATACCTGTTCAGGTATGTTATATGAACAGCACAGTAGCACACAGTACTGAGCACCCTATTGTGTGCACTTTAATAAGTGCTGGTTCCTCATTGCTGTTACCATAGAACTATAACTCCACTTCTGGGTTTGGGGTGATTAAAGAAAGAATCTCGGGGCTGGGAAGGTGGCTCAGTGGTAGAGTGCTTGCCTTGCAAGAATCTCATGAACTTTCCGGCCCAGGATGGTTTTTGAACCAAGACCTTCAGACCTCAGCCTCCTAAGTAGTTAGGATTACAGGCATGAGCCTGTAATAATGCCCAGTTTCTACATCCTCTTAACTTAAAAGAAAATGAAACAACCCACAGAATTTAACTCTCCAATATTGTTTTTTGTTCGTTGGTTGGTTGGTTGGTCATGGAGCCTGAGCTCTGGGCCTGGGCACTGTCCCTGAGCGCTTCAGCTCAAAGCTAGCACTCTACCACTTGAGCCACAGCACTACTTCTGCCTTTTTCTGCTAATGTGATGCTGAGGAATCAAACCCAAGGCCTCATGCATGCAAGGCAAGCATTCTACCCTGAGCCACTGTCCCAGCCCCTCCAATATTGTTTTAATTTGTGTGAGTGTACGTGACCTACTGCTGTGGATTGAACCCCGGGCCTCAAGCATGCTGCCAAGACAAATGTTCTACCACTGTGCTACACTTCCCCAGCCTCTATTCTCTCTTTCTTCTCCCTCCTTTCCTCTTCCCCTTCTTTCTTTTCTTTTTTTTTTTTGGGGGGGGTCTGGTCGTGGGGCCTGAACTCTGGGCCTGGGTGCTGTCCCTCAGCTCTTCAGCTCAAGGCTTGCGCTCTACCACTTGAGCCACAGCACCACTTCGGCTTTTTTCTTTTTGCTGTGGTGCTGAGGAATCGAACCCAGGGCCTCGAGCATGCAAGGCAAGTGCTCTACCACTGAGCCACCTTCCCAGCCCCCCCCTTCTTTCTTTGCTTATCTCCCTAATTCTCTTTCTCTCTTATATTGATATAGTATCTTATTACATTACCCAGACTAGCTCAAACTCAGTGTGTAGCTCAGGCTGGCTTCAAACTAAGATCCTTCTCCCTCAGCCTTCACAGTGCTGTACTGGGATTACATGAATGTGCCACCAGCTTTCAATACGCTCTTAACAACTTTTGGCTTTTGGCAGCCCTAGGATTTGAACTCAACTCTTTGTGTTTACTAGGAAGTTTCTCTACCACTTGAACCATTCCTCAACTTTAAATATGTTCTCAATGGAAGAAAACTGTGCTTTCATAGATAACAAGTTGCCTTGATTACGTGGTCTACAGTTGGTGAATCACACATTTCACTATCTTGGACCTGGAAAACACATCTTCTTAAATGTCAGTCTGCAGACTGAGAAAGAACTACTTGTGTGACATGTGAATCTAATATACGAGAAGAGTCCCCTTTTTTGGAAAGTGACTCTTTCCAAGAAAGAAAAGAAGAAAACTGTGGCTCAAGTGACAGAACACTTGGCTAGTGAGCAAGAAGTCTCATGTCCAAATCCCAAGGCCACCAAAAATACAAAAAAGCGCAAAGAAACAAAACTTAGTCTGTAGCTTTAAAATAATGTTACACAGCTGGGTGCTGGTGACTCATACCTTTAATCCTAGCTATTTGGGTGGCTAAGATCTGAAGATCTCAGTTAAAAGTCAGCTTGGGCAGACAAATCTAAAAGACTCTAATTTCCAATTAGAAAAGCCATAAGTGGAGGTGTGACTCAAGTGCTAGAGAACCAACTTTGAACAAAAAAAAAAAAGCCAAGTGAAAGCATGAGGTCCTGAATTCAAGCCCCATTACTGCCACAGATAAATACCTAGATAGATAGATAAAAAATCATGTTACCAGATTTTCAAGCACAGAGTACATTCATTGGCATAAGTGGCCATGTCACTTCCACAGACTGGGTTAAGGTCCCTGGGGCATCCTGGCAGCCTATACTGAGCACAATTTGGCTAGAAAAGAGAAAAGGATAATGTGATTAAAGGGTGACCTGAAGACTGGCACCAGTGGCTCATGTTGCGATCCTAGCTACTCAGGAGGCTGAGACCTGAGAATGATCATTCAAAGCCAACCTGGACAGCAAAGTCTATGGGACTCTTATCTCTAATTAATCACCAAAAAGCCAAAAGTGAAGCTGTGTCTCAAGTGGTAGAACATTAGCCTTGAATAAAAAAAACTAAGGGACAGTGCCCAGGCCCTGAGATGAAGCCAGTACCAGCACACACCCAAGGGGAAAAAAAGGGCGGGGTGGGGAGAAAGAGAGAGAGAGAGACCCTCTTCTGTTCTCTAGTTTGAATTGTAATTTCTGAAGGGTGCAATATGTAATAAGTGCTCAATAAATACTAGTGGATTTCAAAGAAAATTAGAACACTAAAAAAAATCTACTGGGAGTGGAGATGTGAGGTGTGGTTCAAATGATAGAGTTAGGACCTGAGTTCAAGCCCCAGTACACACACACACACACACACACACACACACACACTCACACACACACACACACACACACACACTAAGGTGACAAGTCAGTAGAACAATACAAGTGGTTTCTGACTTACCATTCTATACACTGGAGAAGGTTGAGAAGGATATACGGGCTGCATAAAAGCTGCATAAAGAAAACAGACGTTTCAAAGCATGTATTAAAGTGAATTGTTGTTAAGGTTTTAGAAAATGAGGCATCTAGTCTGTCTATATCTTCTTTCCCTCTGATGCCTAGCATCTTTGAACTTCATTCTATGCCGTCTAAAAAATAAACGTAACAGGAACAGATACCTAAATATGCTCCCAACTGTAGTTTCGGCCCCAGAATGAACTCACTTTATCCACTAGCATACTTTCACTCATGCAAGTTTTCTTTTCCTTCTCACTGAACTGTTTTCTCCAATCCAATTTCCTTGGGAGGGAATCCAAGAACATCTTTAGAGCTCCAGGGAAGGCCTCCACACTCCTCTGCTTATCTTTCTACAAGAATGAAGGAACATTCAGGACAGCAAGAAACTAAACCACAAAGACTACTGCCAGCACATCCAGATTATACCAAAGGCCACCATCCAGCCCCAAATCATGTCTCAGCATGTACACCCAGGAGCCCAGGCTGCTGGGCTGTGTGTGTGTCTGTGTGTGTCTATGTGTGTCTGTGTGTCTGTATGTGTTCCGGTCCTGGGGCTTGAATTATTTTTGTGTGTATGCTGGTCCTGGGTGCTGTCCCCAAGTTTTTTTTTTGTTTGTTTATTTTTGCTTAAGACTAGTTCTGTACCATTTGAACCACAGCTCCACTTCTGGCTTTTTGGTAGCTTATTGGAGATAAGAGTCTCATGGACTTTTCTTCTGCTGCTGACCCTCAAATCTCAACCTCCTGAGTAGCTAGGATTACAGGTGTGAGCCACTGGTGCCCAACTATGGGCTTTCTTTGTGTGTGTGTGTGTGTGTGTATGTGTGTGTGTGCGCGCGCGTGCTGGTACTGTACATAAAAGTCTGATTTTCCAGGTCTCAGCCTCCTAAGTAATTACAATTATAGGTGTAAGCCACCAGCACCTGGGTGTGCTTTCCTTTAATAGCCAATTCTCATTAGGTGGCTCATGCCTATAAACCTAGCTGTCCTGTCAGGCTGAGACCTGAAGGGTCACAGTTCAAAGCCAGTCTGAGCAGAAAACTCTTTGAGGCTGTCTCCAATTAACCAGAAAAATGCTGGACCAGAACTGTGACATAGATAGTCATGGACCATCCATAAGCAAGTAAGATGAGCAAGAGTACCAGGCTGTGATTTCAAGCCAATACACACACACACACACACACACACACACACACACACACACACACACACTAGTTCTCCTCCCCGTGGCTATAAGACTATTTCCTGAAGCAAGTATACCACCCTCATTTTGCCTGGCACAACTAGTGAACCTTAATTTGTTTTTCATGACTTGTGGATTGGCACTGAGATCACGTGACCAATTTTTAGTATCATAATTTTTCAGAATCATAAAGACACCCCATTTCTTTTCCCCTGGCACTTCTAAACAGGCGCTTGAAAGAACATTTGGTTTACTTTGGGGTTTGGTTGAAGGATTCAGAAGCCAAGTTACAAAGATTAAGTGTGTAATTCGTATGGGTTTCTAGTAAGTCTTTTCCTCTGCAGATCAATAGTAAACGCAAAGCTTAACACTAGGGATTAGAGGTGTGGCTCCAATGATAGAGGTCCCCTATTGCGGGGACGAAGGAGCTAAGTGTCCTAAGTTCAAGCTCCAGTACCAACACAAAACGAAAAACAAAAACTTAACACTAGCTGTTACACTCAAGTGCATTTTAAGGCGGGTGTCAAGGTGGCTGTGAAGTCCTTGCTCACAGGATTCCTAGCTCCCAGTGCCAGCCCCTCCTCGACGCCCTCCGGCCTGGCACCGGATCCCTTGCATTAAGGAAGCCAGAGCAAGCAGCACGATGCCCCCAGAAGGAGCTGGCAGGGAACCCCAAGCAAGATCGCTAGCTCTTTCTCTGCCCTCCCTCCCAGTTCTGGCTGCTGACCCCTATGGGGGAACCGCCAGTAACGGGCGTTCGGTACAGTCGCCGGAGCTGCCCAGAGCTCGGCTACCCCACGCAGCCGATGTGTGGCGAGTCCCTCAGGGGGCTCCTTGGCGGGGTGCCCATCTCCAGGCCCACTAACGCGCATTACCGGCCAAATCCCCAGCCAGCATCAACAGCATCAGGCGCAGCACCGCCCCCGCCATCCTGATTGCCCCGCCGTCCCTTGGACCGCTTCCTCGCGCGCGGGGACGCCACAGCTCGGCACCCAGGGGACGGGACGGGCGCGGAGGGGATCGGGACCTCCCAGCACCCTGGGGACAGACTGGCGCGCGGGGACGCGAAGGCACCGTGCGGGGGGTGGGGGGGGGAAGAGACAAGACAAGCGCGCGGGGGTCGGGACGGCACCACCACGCCAAGAGAAGAATGCGCGGCGCGGGTGGTGGGCTGGGGTGGGGGAAGGACAGGACAGAAGGATGGCTGGGGCCCTGAAGAGAACGAGGGCGGGGGAGGCACCGCTGGCGGGTATCCCTCCCGCCACGTTCCCACTCCCTGCTCCGC